TATTAATAGCCTTACTCTGATTAATTTCCTGATCTTAAAAACAGTTACTAATAACCATTTACTAAAACAGATCCAAGTTCATGTAATACATGCAAAATCCAATACCTTTTGCCTCTGCCCACTTCTTGTCATGTGACTGCGGGAAAATCATAAACGGGCAATAGGAAACCACAAAACCTCCATGGGATCTCTCTCCTAAGTGGCTTATGTAATTGTGGCAACTTTCTTTTCTGTTGTCCCCTTCTAAAGAACCAACAATGGATAAACAAAACAAGTGACAAACAAGCTCTATAATTACAGCAAATTCACTGTGGCTGAACAAATGGCACCAAAATAATTGAATAGAAGTCTAGTACACTTGACTACAATATGTGATGATTTATTGTGATTTTTCATTTGATAGTCTCATTTAAAGATATGGTCAGACAGTGAGAACTCTCTACTGTTGTTTTATCTGGGCCTTACTCTTATCTGACTTCTTGGGACAGTCACACTCAGACTAGGGACAATGATGGAGACCCAGACTCCCAAGGATCAGATGGTTCAACAAGAGAGTAAGTGGAACATCACTTGCTTCAGATCAGACCCCCATTGGTCAACTTTTTCATCCATATCGATAAAGATTGAAACCCTTCTATCTTGTCTTTGACAATTTGATTTATACATATTGACATACAGACTACGTTACGTCTCTATGTAGTCATTCAACAGTCTAATATTCAATAGGTGGAATTTCAGTATTTACTCTTAAGTTATTTTTGTTAAGGTTTATTGCTTAAGTTCTTTTAAGATCCTGCAATCTGTACTCGCTGTACTGTAGTAAATACCACAGATATTCCTATTAATGTGTCAGAAATGTTTTAGATAGTAAGGTATTTTATTGTCCTTTTTAGATAATATAAGTGATATTATTATTTGTTTGCCAGTTCAAATATCTAGCACAGGTAGTCTTGACTTACAGCCATTCCATGATAATTCAAAGTTATAATGGCACTGAAAAAAATGACTTATAACTGTTTTTCACACTTACGACCGTTGCAAATCCCCATGGACACACTTGGCAACTGACTCATATTTATGACAGTTCCAGTGTCCCAGGGTCATGTGATGAGCTTTTGAGACCTTCTGACAAGCAAAGTCAATGGGGGAACCAGATTTACTTAATAACCATATTATTAAGTTGACAATTGCTGTGATTCACTTAACAAGTATGGCAAGAAAAGTCAGAAAATGGGAAAAAAAATCACTTAACATCTGTCTTAGCAACAGAAATGTGATTGTAAGTCGAGGACTACCTGTAGTCCTAGCTCAGAATTCAACTGCCTCTGTCACTTGAGGAATTTGGTCATGAGGTAATCCACATCAAAGTTGACTAGAAAATTAAGTTCCTTTGCTGCCATCTCCCCTTTTCAAACCTCAACCAATTTCTCCCTTCCCACCAGTCCTCAAGAGAGCCAGGAATGAATTGAATGGGAAATCCTCACTCTGCGTTGAGTTTGGCTAAATACAGAAGGGAAAACCAAACACCCAAAACTTTGGGAGTGGGTAGCTCAGACAAGCTAAGGGAGGTGTAGGAAGGTCAGAAGGCTACCAGTGGACCCCAGTGTTGGAGTTATTGGATTATCTGGCCTGCTAGGCTGAGTCATCAGCTGCAGTAGGCCAAGGTATAAGGAAGTCGGAAGTCAAAAAGTTCGGGAGAATACCAAGAAGTGCCGTGCGGTGCAAAGGAATGTGTTTGGTGCGTTGTTGGTGCCGGGTGTAACAGCTGTATAGGGGTGTGAGCAAAACAAAGCTGTAGCACGTGTAATATGCTAATATGCTGTGTTGTGACAGTGTGATTGGTGTGATGTGCACGAGGTGCATATAAACCCGCCTTCTGATAACGCAATAAAAGGGATGCTTCGGCTTTGTTCGGGGCTCCCATCCCGAGGAAACCACGTGTTCGTGTCTGTTCTTCTACACTCATGGGAGACCCGCTGGGCGCGTGAAAACCCACACCCCAGGACTGAAACCAAAATCAACTTCCTTAACGGTGCCAAAAGAAGGCACGGTACAAATAGCAGGATATTAAAAGTAGAACCTAAATAATAAAATGCTGCATTAATAAAAATAATTGAAGAGTAGATACTGAAATTCTACCATGTCCAACGGCAGTTTAACAGAGATAAAAAATACCAAAAGCCCAAATACAATTGAGTTACTACCAAACAACTTAATTTCCACCCTTGCCTGAGGCCACCCGCTGCTCATTCAGGATTCCAGCCAACTTTCTCAAAACTCAAAAAACAAAAGGTTCCTGCCCAAACCCTGACAGAACTCTTCTTTTCCTTGATTGGCTCTCAAGGGTCAGGTGATTCCCTCCAGACCCATCAAGGTGGCTTATTTTTGTAAGCGACAGTTGCTCCCCACTTACAGATGGCTTCCTGGGCTTTGTTCTTTTATTTTTTCTTTAGAAGCTGATTGTTTAATCTCCTGGTCAGTGATTATAATAAAAATTGTCTAGATTTCACTGGTATATGTCACCCTGTTACTTCCCAAGTCCATTAATTGTGTATTCTTATTACTGGAAAGAGTTTTTTTTTTTTTATTAAAAATTTTTATAAGTTTTTACAAAAAAACAGAAAAAATACAACAATACAAAAACAGAAAACAACATATACAAGAAACTAAACATAACATCCCCTTCCCCATCCCCCCAAAAAAACACCCCCCTTCCCCCCCCCCTGAGCTTCCCAGAGCAGAATATAGGCTTAATTAAAAAAGAATTAAAAAAATTATATATAAAAAGGAAAAAAAATTAAGACTAAAATATATGTATATGTATATAGAAATAAAAATTATGAAAAAACAATATGATATTTTTTTATATCCAATTTAAATTGTATAAATTCTATCCATTTATCCCAAACAGCAAGAAATTTCTCTTGCGTTTGTTCCTTTAAGAAAGCCGAAATCTTTGCCATTTCCGCCAAATGGGACACTTTAAAAAACCATTCCTGCAGTGTAGGCAAGGATTCCTTCTTCCAATATTGTCCTACTAACAGCCTTGCGGCTGTAATCAAATTTAACATCAATATAACCTCCTTTGTATCACAATCAGTAACTATACCCAACAAAAATAACTGCGGAGTAAATTTTACCCTCCTTCTGAAAATTCTCTGAATATTCCACCATATCTTGATCCAAAATGCTTTTATCTCTGTGCACGACCAGAGTTTTTATATACTTTTTTTAGAACTTTATAATTCGTTTAATTTAATAAATACAATTCCCCAGTTCTTTGACTGTATCTTCCTTTTTTTACTTCAGTAGAATGAGACATTCATAGCCTTGAATGTAACCTGCAGTTTAATTACATAGAAGGGCAGGAAGACTGTGTCTCTTTATAGAAGCTCAGCAAAGGATTCCCTGCATCATAATGAATAGTTTTTGTCTAAGTCATGCCGCCATATTTCAATTGCACAGTGGGAATCACAGCAGTTTTTTGTTACAGAACCAAAAAAACCTAATAAATTCATTTATGAAAACTCATTTGCTGAGAAACAAGATAAGCCAATCTGGTTTCTGCAACTCAGAAAAAAATACAGAACAGAGTTGGAAGGGACCTTGGAGGTCTTCTAGTTCAATCCCCTGCTCAAGCAGGAGATCCTCTACCATTTCAGACAAATGGCTGCCCAATCATTTATTTAAAACCTCCAGCAATAGAGTACCCACAACTTCTGGAGGCAAGCCATTCCATTGATCAATTGTCCTTACTGTCAAGAAACCTCCTTAGTTCTAGGTTGGATCTCTCCTTGATAAGTTTCCATCCGTTATGTCTTGCCTTACTCTTATGTCTTCGGAGAGTAGGTTGACCCCCTCCTCTCTTTTACAGCCCCTCAAATATTGGAAGATTTCTATCATGTCACCCCTAGTCCTTTTCTTCATTAAACATTCCCAAATCCTGCAACCATTCATCATAGGTTTAGCCTCCAGTTCCCTAATCACCTTTGTTGCTCTTCTCTGCACTCTTTACAGTTTCAATATCTTTTTTTATATCATGTGACCAAAACCCGTGATGGCATGCATGTCTTGACATATGTTAGCAAATAACAGATCAAAGAAGTGTTCCACTCTACAGCTGAGGAGTCATATTTATTTAGTCAAGATCAAAGGAATTTTTTTTTGTCCCAGTAAAAAAGCCTAATCATAAACTATTTTATATCCAGTATTTAGGACCTAGTTCATCCCACTTTAAATACAACATTTGATTGTCATTTGTACTGCACTTCACTGCCAGTGATGGGAAAACATTCCCAGGCTATAGGAACACAGAAAAAGTCGTATGTCCCTCACAGCAACCCACATCACTGGTTGTTCATTACCTAACAGTATGACTGATCTCAGGTTTAATCATGAGAATATGAACTCTGGTGGAGTTATAGAAGCAGCAGTCAGTGACTGTGAGACTTATTCTCTCTGCCATAAGATACTTGGAGTGAATGTGCACCTGCACTTATACCTTATGCAAACATGAAATGATACTTCCCCTCCTCCCATGTGGTAGGTAAACTATTTATTTACAAGTTCCTCATAAGCCTGTTGTTTGACAATCAACCATTATTTTTAATGCACTCTGGTTAACCACACCTAGAAGCACATTTCCAGTTTGCAAAGGTGCAAAGGGCATGATTTTATTCTAATACAGTAGCCTTTGTGGTTTTAATTTTATATTCTGATATTCTCAGGTAATGTTGAAGGATCTTTGTGTATTGTATGATTTGTAGCATACATTTCCCCAGTCCTTTTTCCAGTAATTTATTGTTGACTTGGATGCATTATTTATTTTGAATCCTCTTAAGAAAATTATTTGAAAAAGCCTGTCACAATTTAAATAGTTCCTTACATACACACACACACAGAGAGAGAGAGAGAGAGAGGGAGGGAGGGAGGGAGGGAGGGGTTGTATTTGGAGAATACAGATATTGGAGAATACAGGTAATTGGAACTTCATCTAACCTAGTTATCATCATGCTAGGAATGATCTGATCTAGGAATCAGATCTTGTTTACAATTATACAAAGGATCATGAAGGAAACGGGAGGGCAGCACTACCTTTCCCACATTCTGATTTTTTATTTGAGAAAAAAAGGAAAATCCTCTCCAAATGGTCTTGTTAAGAGACTTTACATTTAAGGAGGGTGAAAACAAAAATATAAATTAAATCTTTAGAAATATTTAATTTAATGTGGGGCCTTTACTGCAGATGGCTCTATAATATACCCGCAATTTTTTTGTGTGGAGGGAGGGGGTGAATCTAGCATTAAATAGACTGGGGTCTGTTTGAAACTAAAAATATCTCTTTGGGTTATCTATCTGGATCAGTTGGCTGAAGTTAATTTCTTCCCTACCATGATCCAGTTAAGCATGGCCCTGAGAACTTGCAAACATACCAGTTTCTAAGTCAATCTGAACATGCATATACATGTGTGCACACACACATAATTGTATCATTATTGTTTGTTGCAGTCACCCAGATGTTTAGACTGGGTTTGACATTTTTGTCTGCCTATCGGGTCCTTCCCAAGGACCTGGGATAGGCAGATGTGGATGTTCAATGGTGTTACAGGTATAGTCACAGGATGCTTTCTGCAATTGACTGATGGTGAATGTCAATATTGATGGTGTTCAAATGGTGTGCCAGTTGTTTTGGGATTGCTCCCAAGTCGCCTATTACTATTGACACTACCTTTGTTTCTTTCCCCACAATCTTTCTATTTCTATTTGCAGACCTTTCCCCTGATGCTATTCTCAATGGCCCCATTTATAAAGAACAATGGTTTAATGACTATTGACCGCCTTCTTTGAAATTGGCCGACTGGGTTTGTGTGTGTGTATTGGGGAGGGGGGGTGTTAGAGAAAACCCAGAAGAGCGCCCTGAGAACAGGTAACCTCAAGTTCCCAACGCCGATGAGAAAGAACCCAAAGGGAGGGGGAGCGGAGCTGGAGCGGGAAAGTGCTGAGTCACTGCATGACGCGACGTCTATCCCTGTCACCTCTTCCTTTCCCTCGGCGCGCGCGGACCAGAAACCGACCGCGCGCGAGAGAGCGCCTATGTTCTCCGCCCTGCTCCTCGGTCACGTGTGATGCGATTCCTCCCGGGACGGCCAGAACCATACCGGAGGCGGCTGCCGGCGCCCTCAGACTTCTCGGGTTTCCCTTAAAAGTACCCGAGCCCGCGAAGCCAGGGCGGAGGGGGTCGCCGTCATCCTTCGTTTGGCGCCGGCCGCTGGCAAGCGGAGGCTCGGGAGGGCGGCGGGAGCGCCCTTTTTTCCTCCCTTTGCCCAGCCACCTCCCCCCTACGTCTGCCGCGAGTGGATTCTCCTTGCGTGTTTCCCGCCGACTGAAGTAGTTTTTTTTTTTGTCGGCGGCTCTCTGGCCCGCGCAGGTTTTCGGAGTTGTCACGGCAGCGGCAGCAGCAGCAGCAGCAGCTTGGTTCTTCCGCGCTCCTCCGCTTGCGCTCTCCTCGCGCTCCCGGCGCCTCTTCCCCGGGAGAGCCATGGGGCTTCTGTCGCAGGGCTCGCCGCTCAGCTGGGAGAAAACGCAGCGGCACGCGGAGCACGTGCGCAAACACGGCATCCAGCAGTTCCTGCACATCTACCGAGCCGTCGGGGAGAGGCACAAGGACGTGCTCAAGTGGGGCGACGAGGTGAGCGCTTCCCCCCCCCCACAGCGAAGGGAAAGGCGTCTTCGGAGCCGGCCGGGCTTAAAGGGGGAGGGGGGAAATCCTTCGGCTGCTTCTTTTAAAAGCCCGCGCTATCCTTTTGCGGGCGTTGGGAAAGTCTCCCGATTGATAGGCCGCCATTCCTGTCTTTTCAGGTAGAAGGTCGGTCGGTGCTGCTAGAAGAAGCGGAGGCTTCTGGCTCTGCGCCTGCGAAATATTGGGCGGGCGGGGGGGGGTAGAAAAAAAAGAGGCGATTCATTTGCTTAATCGGAGTTTCCTTAACTGACCTTAGATATGAAGCTAGAAAACAGACCGGCAGCGGTCAAGTCCCTCCGCTGTCGCTCACCTGACCTAAGGCTGGTTTCACAAGCCGGCATTTCCCTTTCTGTACCATTAACTGGAATAGCCTGTACAATCCGAAACTGGTGGGAAAGTAAAATTTATCTTCTGTTCTGTTTTCGATTGCTTTTGCCCGGGAGAGTTTGATCTTCTGCAATTCTTAGGAAAATTCCTTAGATAGAAAAAGCAATATTAGCTTATGGATTTCTGCCTTTTATGATTGTTTAACAGTTATATCACTCGTTTACTTTTTCTTGCCATGTGTTTTTGTGTTAGTAGTATAGTAACAACTGTAACTTGGAAATTTTGGTTTGGATATATGTTTGGATATCGGAAGGATCAGATTACAGATGTGTATGTATAAATGAATCTGTTTTCTTCCGTAGGCAGTTTTATATTTATATTTCATTGTGCTCCATCCTATTAACAATTAATGTCCTGTTAGTATGCTGTGTATTACTATAGTAATGAAAGCCAAAGAGTTGTTTGACAGAGGCCCCTATAATCTGGGTTCTATATTTGATAGATATGTGCCTTATAATACAAATCCAGTAGTATCTTAACAGATTATTAGAGTATCGTCTTTTTAAATTTAAAGCATTTATATATTGCTCAAGAGCTAGGGATATTCTCAGAACAATTGGCATTACTGTACTTACTTGAGGCAACACTAAACTTGAGTTGGGTCATGGGAAGGATACTATTTGAAATCAGTGATATCCAGAATTCTGTTACTCAGTTAATTTTCTGGAATTGAGTGAATGTATTAATTAGTTTTGTTTTATTTATAAAAAGTATAAGCCATTTGTTCCCAGACACTGTAGCCTGTGATATAATTTAGATAATCCAGAAAGCGGGATATCGACAACCTACAAAGATTATTTCTTCAGGTTTCATATGTTTTGAAGAATTTTCGAGTGCTTTTTCTCTATATGTTTGCATTCTTCCAATTTTTTAAGTAGGACAGTTAACAATTTCCATATGATTTGCAAAAAATACATAAATAACTACATTTCCCATTGAAAATGACTGTCAGAGGTAAATGAAGCTAGAAAAAAAACCATTTAATATGAATTGAATTGGTCATTGATTTTAATTGCTTGACATTGTAATTGAAGCAGAACTGTAAACCATTTCTAAATTCTCTGTAAAGCTTTTTCCTAAAACTTCGAGCACTGCATAGATTAAGTAAAACAAAATAACAGTATGAACTAATTGCTGACATCTTTTTGTATATAATTAGTTTTTCTATGTCCAAATAATTTATTTCATTGTGAAAATGAGGCTTTCTAAGAATGAAAAATTTTATGTAACATTCATAATATATGAAAATAATTTAGCCCATCAAATTCTCTTAAAGAGGTACTGATTTGAAGAGAAACCTTCACATACACTTGATAGTGACTTGAATACAATCTTAGACAAGGCCTACTTGAATCTTTTCTCCAAACTGGATACCCAAGAGGAGTTTCAAAATTAAACTTTTTCTTGAGATCTTTTCTTTCATCCTCAAAGATTCTAAACTGTCAATTTACAAGCTCCGAAATCGAAATATATGTTGTGTGCTAATACTGAAGAAAACTTATTTTTTACAGCTCAAATCAGTTTGAAAATATTCCAAGATTGTATTACATGCAGTATTAGATCTTAGGAGCATTTCAAAGGATTTAGATTGCTGTATGCTTTTAAAAAAATCCATACAATTTTGTATGTTAGAGCTATGATAATTGCTCTATACATTATAAAAAAAAGATTTTATGAGACAACTCCAGACTTGTGATGCCCAGGGGCATGCTACATCACAAACACTGAAAATGAATGCCTGTAAAAAAAAAATGTACATAAGAAAAAATAGCTGTTAATATTTTTGTAATAAAGGTAAATCAGGTAATTAAACTACAAATCTCACATTTTTAAGTATTGATGGGTTCAATTTTTAGGTAAGTTGCATTCATAGATATTTATAAAAAGTAGAAAAAATGTATTATGAAACTGATTCCCGTACATCATTAGTATAAACTCACTTGCTAATAGTTCTTTTAAATATTCTTCATATTATCTATAGATATCAGGAACAGAATCTGCAACCATCTATTTGCAAAACATACGCTTCACCTTTCATCAAGATTGATAGCTTTGTGCATATGCTGTAGTTATAGAATTGTGTAATTCTTGTATGCTTATTTTCCATTCCAGGAAATCAAGTTGCCAATAAAAAAGTCTTGAAAAGTTATATATAAAGTGCATAGACATTAGTTTTAGAAATTAGCAAATTCTCACCAGAAATACGAAATAGTGACCATAGTCTATTGCTTCTCTTAGTTTTCCTGTCTGGAACAAAACAAACTATGAAACCTCCATTTGTGATTTGCTAAGCAATACATCTGTCTTGTTTCTCGTAACAAGCCTGGATTATTAAGGAATGAAGCATCAAGAAAAAAACCTCTCTAGCTAATGGCTTTTGTATATTAAGAGAGCTAGGAATCAGATATAATATTAAGCTAGTGTTACCAAATCAGATCTGAAAAACTGGTTGACCATTAGATCAGGGCTTTTCAACCAGTGGTACAGGTACCACCTATGATACATTGGCACCTGGCAGGTGATATGCAACCATCCTAAAAAAGTGGTAGCGGGGGAGGGGAATGAGCTGAACCTTGACAGCACTGCACAAGCCTGAGCAAGAGATGGCTGGAGCTCCAGGGCTGTCAGGGCTTAGTGGAAGCGCCAGGATCAGCACCAGGCTCCAGCTGGAGCTCGGCATTGATCCTGGTGCTTCTGCTGAGCTCTGAAGAAGCACCTATTAGCTGGAAAGCAGCATTGATCCTGGCACTTCTGCTGAGCCCAGAAGAAGCGCCGATCAGCTGAAATGTTGCAGCATCTCCAGGGTCTTGTGATTTACAGATGCTTGGCATCTGTCAAGCTATTTTCCAAAGCGCCTGAAGGCAGGACAAGAAGCAACGGGTGGAAACTAACCAAGAGAGAAGCAACCTAGAACTAAGGAGAAACTTCCTGACAATTAGAACAATTAACCAGTGGAACAACCTGCCTCCAGAAGCGGTGAATGCTCCAACACTGGAAGCTTTTAAGAAGAAACTGGACAACCATTTGTCCAAAATGGTATAGGGTTTCCTGCCTGAGCAGGGGGTTGGACTAGATGACCTCCAAGATCCCTTCCAACTTTATCATCATCATCATTATCGATCATCGCACAGTCAGCCAGATGTTCAGACTGGATTTGGCATTTTGTCTACCTGTCGAGTCCTTACCCAGGACCTGGGATAGGCAGATGTGGATGTTTGATGGTATTACAGATATCGTCGCAGGATGGAAGCAGTTCCTAATAAGGCCGCCTTTTGCAATTGACTAATAGCGAATTTGTCAATGCCAATGGTGTTCAAGTGGTGCTCCAGTTGTTTTGGGATTGCACCCAAGGAGCCTATTACTATTGGTACTACCCTTGCTTGCTTTTGCCACAGTCTTTCTATTTCTATTTGTAGGTCTTTGTATTTTGTTATCTTCTCCAGTTCTTTCTCTTCTATTCTGCTATCTCCAGGCACTGCCACGTCCACTATCCAGACTTTTTTGTCTTTCTTATCGACAATTGTTAAGTCTGGGGTGTTATGTTGCAGGTGCTTGTCTGTTTGAATTCTGAAGTCCCAGAGCAGTTTAATTTTATCATTTTCTATGACTTTCTCTATTTTATGATCCCACCAGTTTTTGCTTACAGGCAAATGATATTTTTTGCAGATCTTCCAATGCACCATTGTTGCTACTTTGTCATGCCGCTGCTTGTAATCAGTCTGTGCAATCTTCTTGCAACAGCTTACCAAGTGGTCCACTGTTTCTTCAGCTTCTTTGCATAGGCGGCACTTACTGTCTGTTGCTGTCTTCTCAATTTTGACTTTGTATGCATTTGTCCTTAAGGCTTGGTCTTGTGCAGCCAGAATTAGTCCCTCGGTCTCTTTCTTCAATTTTCCTGCTCTTAGCCATTGCCAGGTTTTATTATTATCTGCTTTCCCAGCTATTTTTTTCATGTATTGGCCATGTAGTGCTTTGTCTTCCCATGCCTCTATTCTGTTCTTCATTTGGTCTTTCTTGTAGGCCAGTTTGGTCTCTCCAGTAGTTAGTAAGCCTTCCTGATATACTAATTTCAGTGCATCTTCATCATTGTTCTTCAGATATTCTTCCAAAGCCATTTTTTCTTCTTCAACCATCTGATGTACTTGTAGCATTCCACGCCCACCTATTTGCCTTGGTAGATAAAGTCTATCAATGTCACTGCGTGGATGAAGGGCATGATTCATTGTCATTATTTTTCTGGTCTGCCTATCCATTGCTTTTAGTTCTGCTTGAGTCCAGTCCACTATTCCAGCTGTGTACCTAATGACTGGGATTGCCCAGGTGTTGATTGCCTTTATGGTATTTCCTCCATTGAGTTTGGATTTTAAGATCTTCTTCACTCTCTTGATGTATTCACCTCTAATCTTTTTCTTGACTTCAGTGTGCTTGATGTTGTCAGCTTGAAGGATACCCAAGTATTTGTAGTACTCTTCCTCATCCAGACTCTTAATGTTATTTTCGTGGGGCATCTTGATTCCTTCAGTTTTCATTATTTTTCCTTGTTTGATAGTAAGTGTGGCACA